ATGGTTGCTAGGCAACCTGAACAGCGCGACGAAGCGTATACCGTCCCATTTCACAAGCCTCGCACTTCCGCACTTCTCGTACTTATAGTACGCACCGTGCGTAGTACGCACCGTACGTAGTACGTACGTAGTACGTGCGCGTACTTCAAGCGTGCAGTCTCTTAATTGGGACACAGCCAGTGTCTGCCCAGCTTAAATGGACTTCCGGATCTCCACGCCTAATAAACGTGACTCGACGTGGAGCACGTCACTGCTAACCAGCCACTGAGGAAGCCCGGATTTGGAGCACGTCAGCATGCGCGTTCAACAGTGCTTGTGTTGCATTCCAGTGCCGTAAGAAAGAATAGGACAACGGCTTATTAGTGGAAATGTGGAGATGACAGCTGTGGTTTCAGGACGAGCTGCTGTGTCCTCCATAAACGCCTCGTGTGAAACTAACTGATGTGGTGTGTAATACAGCATCGTTATTGTACGAGGCTGGAACCGTCGATAACCTCGCACCTGTCCATCACAAGACAACAAGACACTCCTTTGTAGAAATCCACCCTCCTGAGTTGGAGTCTTTGAGTCTGGGCAGCTTCTGCAGCGTCTCTTCAGCTCCTCCTGATGACCGCCCCTCATTTATTTTATGACTTTAATCATTTATTTTCTCGGTGCTCTTTTTTCCATCGTTCCATGAACGCAGCCTGAGCTGTGGGTAAGAGGGTGGAGCATGCGCACTGAGCCAAAGCGTTATGAAACAAAGTAGCGCAGCAGCGGCTCGAGGTGCAGACAGTCAGAGGGACCCAGCGCGCAAACACTTATACCCCGGCACAGCTCCCCGCTCTGCCCGAAGACATGCTCCCGTCCCTGGGCCTCACATAGATGTCACCTCCGGGGAGCCAGCACAAGGTGAGCGGGTGGGTGCGGGTTGGGGGGAGACGGAGGTCGGCGTATACAGCGCCACCGGTTACATAAGCTCCGCTCCGGTGACCCCGTTTCTGGGGCCGTATCGGGTGTGCCGTCCCGGGCAGGTGTGTGGGGGGTCTCCCCGGTGTGTGAGGGGCAGGTGGATGTGGTTTGGATTCGCACCGGTTTTATTCAGCCGGAGCTGCGCTGAGGCGGAGAGCCCATTCACAAAAAAACTCCGTGACCTAATTTCCATTTGGAGGGTCCGTGAACGCATCTCAGCCTGTTGGCGTGCCGAAAGCTTCAGCGTTTATGTTTTCATCTTCATCGCGTGGGCTGAGTGTGAGGATGAGAAGTTCAGGCTGGAGCCGCTGGACATCCTGAAGGTCAGAAACGTCTGAGATCCGCCGACTAATCACAAGAGCGGAGCTTTGACCGCAGTCATCACAACCTGGATCCCAGGATTGATCCCACAGCTGATCTCTGAACCAGCAGCTTCCTGTGCTGGCTGATCCGGGGTCGGTGTGCTGATCGGGGGTCGGTGTGCTGATCGGGGGTCGGTGTGCTGATCGGGGGTCGGTGTGCTGATGGTTTGATTGAGTCGGGGGAAAGTGGGTCAGTGGGAAGTTTGTGTTGTTGTTAGGAAGAAGTCGGAGCGGCGCTGCGGGTTGCACAGGAGGAGGTTCGCCCCAGAGATGATCCTTGAAGGCGCACATAGTGCAGACCCGCAGCACAGCTGGAAAGTTTACAGACCAGGCTCAGATTATAATCTAGTGTGTTTGGGACATCTGGAGGAACGTCTTCTCTGCTGCTGAGGAGGAGCAGCAGGAGCTCCGACCTGCAGCCCAGCGGCACTCCCTCACCCAGGTACACCCTGGGAGTGTCGTCATCATTGTTAATATTCTTGATATTGAAAGTGTGATGATGCTGCTTAAAGCTGGGGGAGGGGTCAGCTTGGCTTGTCATCTGAACTCAGTAAGTTTTGTCTTTGTACGTTTATTTCAAATCAGCTTGCGTGGAAGCAGTCTGGACTCACTGAGCGATGATTGGCTGCTCTGGTTTCCTGGTGTTTGGTGTTGTCTGTATGTTTTTCATGCAGAACAGTAAAAAAAAAAACACTCAAAATATTTAAAAAAAACAAAGAAACACATCTTTGTAAAACTGTGTCCTCAGTGAAAATGAGCCCACCACACTCCGACTCCTCCTCTGAAGCGAGCCTCCAGCTGGTGATTGGCTGAAATATCTCCTCCACGCTGATGACACTGTTTACATCACAGGCGCCCCCGTGTCTGTTTGCCGGTTTGCAGGCAGTCGCTAGGTGCCGGGCAAACTGACTGTCGTTGCTGTTTCAGTCGCTGCAGGGCAGGCGTTGCCACAGAATGTGTCAGCGGACCTGATTGGCTGGTGACAAGTGCAACGAGCAGGTGCATCAAAGGTAACAGGAAGTCCTGAACGCCGTGGAGCTTTAGCAGCAAGCAGATAGCAGGAAGTGTCCTCCTCCCAGCGCATCAGCACCAGCGTGTTTCTGTCACAGGTGAACATTTCAAAAGAATGAGGTCACCTCATGGTGGGTGGAGCTTTCTAACACCTGAGCCAAATACAAGCTGTTCTTCTCTAAACTGTCCACACAGACAGAAGCTGAGGACACGGCGCTTTTCCAAAAATCAATCAGAAACAGTGAATGATCAGGCTGGACGAGGTTTGGTCAGAGCACCAACCTGGGTCACCTGACTCTGAACACCTGACCCAGAGCCGCACCTGAAAGTTCATTCTAAATAATGGCGTGTGTGTGATAAACAGGTGTGCAGTGTTAGGCGTGCAGCAGACGTCCAGGTGTGGAGACAAACACCACATGCTAACCATGCGTCCATGTCTCACAGCTCTGTGTGCGCTCTGAGTCTGCCGTGAATCTTCGAGGCGCTGAGTTGTTGTTGAGCGCGGCGAGTTCAACTTTGAAGACGAGCTCAGACGAAACAAAAGGCAGTAAAAGTTGTCCGCGCTGCAGGTAAAGCTCACCTGCTGCTTTGATCTTTCCGTGTCAGTAATCGGGTTAAGTTCTCAGCAGGTAAACACTCTGCTCACCGTTTCTCTCGCAGCTGACAGATCCTGCGAGCACCTGTGGGACAGGTGCGATGGAGGGGGTCGGTGCTGCCCGTCCTTCAGCTCTTTAGTCTGATTGGTTGTAGAACTCTGTGATGAGTGAGCTGCACTCACCGAGCTCAATATCAGATTATGAGGTACGACAGGAAGTGAGGAAACAGGTAAAGGTTTGAAGATTTTTTAACCTTGTGCTTTGAGCTTGTTGTGACTGTTTCTACCCACCGCAGAAAGTAAAAGCCTGCTTCTATTGTAGGCCCATCCCACGCCACTGCTCGCCAAGACGCTCCTCCCACCGCTCGGTTCAGTAGACTCACCAAAGCTTCTTCCTGTTTCCTCTTTCCTTTCAGAATAAAATGGCCCTAAATTCCATCCACTGGTTCCGGAAGGGCCTCCGTCTCCACGACAACCCAGCTCTGCGGGAGGCGGTCCAAGGGGCGTCCACGGTGCGGTGCGTTTACTTCCTGGACCCGTGGTTCGCGGGCTCGTCCAACGTCGGGGTCAACAGGTGGAGGTAAGAGGATTTAAGTTACAATCAGATTATCAGTTAGGGCTGCTCAATTAATCGAATTTTAATCACGATTACGATCTGGGCTTTCAACGATCATTAAAAATGACTGAGCCTGATTATTAGCCCCTCCCTCATTTATCCGCGACACCTTAAAGGCCGGTCCGTGAAAATATTGTCGGGCATAAACCGGTCCGTGGCGCAAAAAAGGTTGGAGACCGCTGATTAAGAGGACCCGAGGGAAGCTCGGAAAGCTAAGCAGAGTTATTTGGAGAGGAGAGAGTGCTTAGAACTCGAATTGCACTGCTGGAAATAGTTTATTTTGATGCACATGCTGTTTTCTTTGCAAATTTGCATCATAGGATTGTTTTTTTGTTTTTCCTGCAGTATATAAAAATTGGTGTATCTCCAAAATAAAACTATGAAGACACTCAAAATAAATTTCCTGTTGTTGTAAACTATTTTTTGCAACTTTTTTGTATTTAAAGTTTTGAGGGATAAACCTCTTAAATTTCTCCAAGTAGAAATATATGTAAAAAAACAAAACGATTTTCAATTTTTTGTAGTTTATTGCACTTTTTTGCAATTAATGTAGTTACTATGGACTTAATGCATACATATTATTAAAATATGGGCTATAACAGTTGTATAGCAACTTGAAATGCTCCCACAAATGGCACTACAACATGTAAAAAAATAATATAAGCTCTGGCGGACTTGGTTCTATGGTAGGTCTTAAAGGGTTAAATAAATATCGTCAAATAATCGAGATCTCAATTTCAGTGAAAATAATCGTGATTATCATTTTTGCCATAATCGAGCAGCCCTATTATCAGTTATTAATCTGTTATTGAGTCCTATCAGGACGCGATTTTAACCATTAAAGTTACCTGGACTTCAAATGATCTGATGCTGAAACTGAGTTTAAAATGGATGTTTTTAAGTAGTTTCTGTTTTTCCATCATTCATGTCTTTATTGAGAAACACGCGGCGAGAGAGCGGCGTGTTGTTTAGGAGCACTTCATGCTTCTCTGCGGAGCATCATCTCGCTGTTTCTTCAGTAAGGACAGGAATCACCTCTTTATCCTTCCTGATAACAGCAGAGGTGTTGGAATCATGCTGCTCGTTGTTCCGCGTGCGTTTGACAAACTTGACGTGTTTCCATGACGATCTGGTGGTCCTGTCGTTATGAGTCCAGCAGGAGGAAATGAGCAGACCGGTGCTGGGCGAAGCTGCAGTTCCTTAAGGCGCAGCATGATGTCAGCGTTTCTCTGATGTCAGTCACATGAGTTTTATTTAACGGCAGACGTTTTTTTTCCATGGGTCGGTGGTCTCTCTGCGCCGGGTCTCACCCGGAGACGCCCGCTCAGCTGCTTTCACAGTCGCTCACTTCTGCATAATCCCGGGAAAGGAGGTCAGCCGGCGCGATGAGCAGGTTACAGCAGAAGTAGGTTAGAGGATCGCTGTCCAGGCTGCGTGTGGTCAGACCAAGCTGCTCGCCGCTCGGCTTCACGTGCAGACCGGCGGGGTTGAACTGCTATTCGTGGTCGCCGCGCAGCACGATCCACCCTGAAGGCAGTGACCCGCTCGTATCCAGCTGACTGCAATGCTAAAAGTGTAAACTGGTCAGCGGTGTCGGCATCGAGACAGGAAGTGCACATGGGTGACGCTCTGACTGTTTCTCATGAATTTCCAGAAACTTTCCAGAAATTCCCAGACGGACATTTTTCATTCAAACTAATGAAAACGAATAAATATTAATAAAAGATGGAGTTTAGAGTCCACGCAGAAACTGCTGATAGTAATGGACTGCATTTATATAGCGCTTTTCAAGGCACCCAAAGCGCTTTACAATGCCACTATTCATTCACTCTCACATTCACACACTGGTGGAGGCAGCTACAGTTGTAGCCACAGCTGCTCTGGGGCAGACTGACAGAGGCGAGGCTGCCATATCGCGCCATCGGCCCCTCTGGCCATCACCAGTAGGTGAAGTGTGCTGCAGGGGGATCGAACCGGCAACCTTCCGGTTACAGCTGAGCTTCCCAACGCCCTGAGCCACGGTCGCCCTGATAGTGTGTTTGATGCCAGTGAGACAGGTTTTATTCTTATTTTCAGACACCAGTTCTTAAAGCTGTCGTACTTTCCTGTGTTGAATATTCACTTTATGATCGCGTGGCATCAAAGTCTGCCTTGAATCTGAGACATGATGCAGGGACCTGGGATGAAAACCTGGAGAATTTCCAAAGGATTCCCGGTGGGGCAGCAGAGGGAACAGCAGTGAGTTTGTGTTGTTACAGCTAAAATCTGCGTTTTCCTGCCATTTCTGTTCATGTGACCAACAAACACATTTAAGGTTTTTCTGAGTCAGTCGTAAGGGGAGGAGAAGCAGAAGGACTCGCAGGGTTGTGCTGCAGCTGAGGGGATGTGGACTTTGAAGGGAGAAGCTTATTTTGTTGAGGTTTTGTTTTCGCGTCTTAAACTAAATCTGCAGACCGTGGCTTAGAAGTGCACCGTCGCTGAAGCCTTTTATTATGAGCTGCTCTGAGCTTTAATGTCCTGCTTTGGGAGAAGATGAATGAGAGCCAGCAGATGTCTGTTCAGCTGCTGTGACACCTGCAGCTCTGTGATGGCAGCCCATCATCCCATTAGCTTCGTTATCTTTACCTGAAACCTCTAGTCACACCGGGATTAAATGGCTCCGTCTCCTGAATGAGCATGTTTGAAAGTAAACTTGATGGAACAGAACCCTCTGAAGCTTTCTGTGTTCCCGACCCACATCCTCTGTGTGCTGCAGGACGTCGTATAGAGGTCAGAGACGATCACGTTGGATAACATCGCTGAAACCAGAGAGCTGCCTGAGATGTAGGTTACTGTTAACCCAGATCTAATCTGTGCTGCAAGCTTCACTTAAACAAACCAGACTAAGCTGAAACGTCCTAAGATTTGACAGAATAAACACTTCAATCAGTTTTACAAACGACTTCTTTACAGATCATAAAGGTTTTTATATTTTCCACCAATAAACACAGATTATAACGAACATGTGTCAATCACATATTTAAGAGAAGAAGGATCCTGTGCTCATAATTATACATAGATTAGCGTGTAATTATTCTCCCAACAAACTCATTCATTCAACGTATATTTAATATATGCAAAATACTTGGCAGTGTGTGGAAGCCGCCATGTTCCCCCACCATATTTGAAGGACATCTCCCTTCTCACTAATAACATTGACCATCCAGCAGAGGTGATGGAGAAGAGGTCGTAGGCTTTGTGTGCCATCTTCAGACTAAAGGATCATATATTTTACTGTTGAATTAAACGTCTTCAAGATACTTGAAGTCCAGTCACTTTCTCTTGCAGCTCCTTAGACCCCCATGACCTGGATGACGAGCCTGCACTGACATCTGGATAAAACGTCTCCAGAGAGCCAGCTGAACAACCACTGCTGGTTACGAGCTAACATTATAACAGCTAATATTCGGCTGTAGTATCGTAGAAGTCAAACAGAGGCTAGCGCGGGTGTCGCTACCCGATCCGTACCGGAAACCCGATCAGTACCCCGCATGCGCAAATCTTACGTCACTTCCTCTCTTTGCCAACATTCAATATATTTGAATGACACGGTTAGCGCCCAGTTAGCTCCTAGCATTTCTCAGCAGCTCTGCCTCCTTTTCGACTGCCCGGGACATTTAAACAATGGATAATCCGTATACAAAGAAATTCATGCTTTTCTCCTCAACAGAGAGCGTCCCCCGATTGAGCAACAGCACCGTAAAATAAGAAGAATGGCGCCTAATTACAGAGTTAATAATGCAGACTTTGTAATATCTCACGTGTAGATTCATCAGCCAGATTAAGTGTTTACAGTTTTTTTTTTTTTTCAGTTTCTTAATTGACAGTGATAGCGCACATCATCATCACTATTCCAACAATCCTCTCCTCACAGACGAGCATAAACACACTCGACTGTCACTAAATCAGATTTAACACACGTTTGTAATGACGCTAATTCAGTTTATAATAGGGTTTATTCGCTCGGTCAGCAGGTGGCGGTATCCTTGTACACTGGGGAGTAAACTGCCATTAAATGAACAGAAGAAGAAGAAAACATCTGCACATGCGCGGTACGGCTCGGGTAGACCCGATTTGTATGGTCCGACTTTGCACATGCGCAGTAAGGATCGGAGAGTCCTGATCCGTCACTATCTTTTTATTTTTCGTTTTTGTCTACATTATATTGAAATGTTTCATTATTGCAAACATTTTAAGATATACTTGTTATTCTTAACATCTCAAGAGATACTCTGACCCATAACTATCGTAAAACGCTACAACCGGAAGTAGACACCTTTGGCGCATGCGGGGTACCGATCGGATTTCCGGTACGGATCGGGTAGTGACAGCGGGCAAACAGAGGCTAGCACTGGCTAACAATAGTGCTTGCTGATTCAGCAAGTCCTCAAAAGCTCACCTCAGTATCGCTGTCATTGGTCAGAAGTGAGCTTCTGACTGTGTAAATAAAGATGGACGCTGCTCACGTGCATTGACAGCTGAGGTAAACAGCAGACTGCCAGCCTACACAGCCGGGAAAAACACTTGGGGGTGGATCCAGATTCAGAAGCACGCCGGTGGTCATTAAAGGGCCAAGTTTAACGTGTCAGACTAAAACATGTTTGTCCTGTAGCAGCCACCATAGCTTGAATTATGCACTTGAGCTGCTGAGAGATTTCACACTCTGTATGTTTAAGTGCTGTAGAAGAAGAGTCTGGATGTTTTGGATAACTAAAATAAAGCAAGTGTAAAAACGGAGTTAACCGCTCAGCTGCTGCATTTTCAGAGGGATGTCACAGCTGTACACTGGATTAAATTCACTTTTGTAAAACGGTGAACGTTTCTCGCACTGTCTGCCTCCGCTTCACCAGCCTGCAGCGTCTCATTCACACTGCTCCTCCGTGGCTCCTCTCCTCCTCTTCAGCTCACTGCTGCTCTGCTGCTGC